ACGTCCTGTTTCGCCGCCACGCCTTCCAGGTATGCGACCTTAAAAAAGTGAAAAATTATAGTTAACAAGCAAGCAAACAAGAAAGGTGTAAAAATCACTTACCTTCATATATTTCTCTATGGGTCCGGGCGAATACTTCTCGACCCGGATGTCGACGATTGGGGTATCGCTCTGCATAGAGTCTTTGAGCAGCTCTGGCATTACAGCAAGCTTCACCGTAAATTAGGTGAATATCCGCATATTCATGCGACGTATACTGCGTGTTCTCTGTCGTAGTTGTAATAACACAATGTTCGAAGGGTCCAATTTCACAAAATCCACTCTCACTAATAATAAATAAACAAAATAATGATTTTAATAAATATTATATTCTCATTTATACATATGTAACATAGTTAGGTACTTAGTCAAATTACTAAGTAATTACTTGTAAGTAACACAAAATAATGTCAGGAGCAGGTAATAATGTACCTTTGTACTATTTAGCATGTCATTTGACGGTAACAAGAGCAAATTCAATTTAAATCTATTAAATACATGTCTCAGTCCTTTACCCACAAAAGCGGCTATAACTTTTTTTTTTCTATTCAAAACAGTAAGTGTGGCACCTTTCTGAAATCTTTATTAAATGAGCAATTTTTTTATGTAATGTAAAGTTATAGCTCAGTACATTTTTTTGTCACCCGAGATAGTCAAAGTTAGGGAAGAAAATATCAAAAAGTTAAGAATCCAGAAATAGTCCTAATTTTATGATGGTTCCTTAATATATTTTAACTACATTGCATTTGAGTATGGAGAGGCAACTCGTTTGCTCGCCTCATTTGCCTCGCTCGTTTACTCGCTTCGCTCGTCTGCTGCTGCAAATGAGTGCCTCGCTCGCAACGACGCCCTCGCGAGGGCAGAGCTAATGAGGCCCTGGTTTGCTTGCCGCTCTACTCTTGCGCTGCCCTCGTTTGCTTACTCGCTCGCTGGCTGCTCAGCGCGTGCGCTCGTACTTAACGAGTGCTCGTTTGCAACAGCCTCGCGTGTTGCTCGTGAGTTGCGCTAGCTCGGAGTAAACTAACGAGCGAGCGAGGGGCTAAAATGAGGCAAATTCGAACCCTGGTTTTTATGATTTAAAGGTGCCGTCATATATTCAGAATGTATTTTCTTTAGATAACTTTTGAAATATAAACAAAAATTAAATTCCCGTTCCCGGATTCGTAATACTGGGGTTTTAAAATGCGTATATTTGATACCCCTTTTGACAAAATAATTTGATGATTACCCATGATTTTCCCAAGTGACAAATTACCGTAACAATCATGGGCGAAGTAGGGATGTCGGAAAAACATCGATGCATCGAAATATCGATATCGAAAACTCCAAGAGCTGCGTCATCAGATGTTTTCATTGTCCATGCGTCCACGCCATAAACCAGCCCAGTCATGGTGAGTGACTTATAGAGTTAGATTTTTGTACGGCTACAGGACTTTACTTCTCAATTGCCTACTCAGTCCGAAGTAGCACTTGTTAGTAAGAGTGATTCTGCATTGAATTTCACTACTGACATTATTATCGGTGTTAATGCAGGTTCCCAAGTAAAAGAGATTCTCCACTTTCTCGCAATTATAACTGTAAACAAGGACGTGGGTGCAAAGGCGCGAATGCGCTGACTGTTTATATGATGGCAAGAGATAATTAGTTTTGTCCTCGTTCACACGCAGAACAGATGTAGCCCTTATTTGTAACAATAATGCCGATGTCATCGCCACCAAATGTACGCTCTTGCAAAGTATTGTGTCTGAGCAGTTCAGTTCTGCGGCTCTTATTATCTTCTCCAACATCATATTAAAGAAATCACACGAAAGGCAGTCACCTTGTCTGAAACCTCGACTGGTATCAAACGGCTCGGAGAGCTCTTCCTCAACTCTCACAGAGCTGGTGGCATTGCTCAACGTTATTATTTTCACGGCGATTCACGGTTTTGCGAATATGAGTTCTATGGTGGATTTGGCAGATCTGAAGCCACACTAGTAAGCCGCAATCAGTTCGTTGACGGAGGGCTTCAGGTAGGCGGGGGTCGCCTCTCTTGTGGATCTTGCCATCGTACTTGAATAGCTCGGCCGACATCGGTCACTAGGTCGCCATGATTGCTCCTACAGGAGTCTTGAAACCTTCCGTAAGTCGCTCAACTTTCTGCTAAAAATTTCGGGTGTTTTTTCTGTCACTCACGTATTTCGACCTCTCTCTTCTTATTGAGGCAAATACGTCTACACCTTTTCCAATTCTACTTCGGATATCGTAAAATGTACTTCAGATTAGTTTACTGTACTTCCGAAACCGAAAAATATACTTCAGACTAGTCAATGGTACTTCAGAAACCGTAAAATATACTTCAGTTTAGTCAATTGTACTTCAGAAACCGTAAAATGTCCTTCAGATTAGTCAATTGTACTTCAGAAGCCGTAAAACATACTTCAGATTAGTCAAACGTACTTCAGAAACCGTTAATTGGACTTCGTATTAGTCAATTGTACTTCAGAAACCAAAAAATGATCTTCAGACTTTCAGAAACGAAAAAATGTACTTCAGATTTGTAAATTGTACTTCAGAAACA